TAGCCGCGGTTCCCGCCTGGTCTCGCGCAGGTATCCTGGCCCAACCACGCCCGTTGGAGGTGGCAAGCGCCAATCTCACAGTCGCAGCCAGTCATGGCATAGGGCTCCACCCCCGCCCACCCCCCAACGAGAGGAGGCCTGGACAGTTGGTGTCGAGCTCGCGGCCAATTGGCTACAGCAGGTGTCGCTCACAACGCCGGGCACACGAATTGGTCCACGACTCAGCCCGCCCTCTTCCTGGGCGCGTCTTTTCTGTGCGAACTCCCGCTAGCAACCAAATCCCTTACTCTGGGCAGTGCAGCTCGAGGGCATTTGACGCTCAGTCATGTCCTCGAGAGGAAGCGAGGACTCAAGGTGGCGCTTCCCTTCGCAGAGCAGAATCCATTGGCTGAACCTTTACCCCATCTGCCCACTCCCAGGGCTCTTCAAACCCGCGAGTGCCTGAACCAGCCACACTCACTCCCATTCCCTGAACTCGCTGATGACCGAGCCACATCTGCTTAAGTGGGGGTTCACGTAACATGTGGGCTGCACCTGTGCTACGCCTACCCACGTCAGGTCTCAACAGGGCACTTTCATTAAAAACAGAAGCACAATTGTTAAATCAAGTATTAGTATGTATTTATGCACAATAAAAACATTTACAAGTTGAACTGGAAATCTACACAGTTTACCAGCTTTTATTAAATAACCAAAACACCTTTTATTCCCCAAATTGGTAAAGAATAAATAATATAATTTACAATATGGTACAAAAAATAATCAGGAAGGACAGGCATTCTGCTTTTTACATACACTGTATATGTATATTTATAATCTATAAAACAAATTCACATCTCAAACAAGCCAGAAACCTTAGATGATATGGCTTAACAATTATTAAAGCAAACAGCACAAGTTCTGCGGCCCACACCGCAGGTTACATCCAGGAATCCCATCTGACAGTGCAGGGGTGGGTTGGTGTAGTGCTTCCAAGACTAGAGTGACCTCACAGACCAATGAGATTGGGAGATTGGGAGAGTTCTGACAGCTCAGAAAGGTGTATTGTGGGGTTTTTTTTTCTTTCTTAAAAAAATTGTTTTCCCTTAAGAGAAAGTGCTGTATTTCCTCATAAATACATCCAACAGGCCTCAGTGTTTAAAAAGAAATATAACTGTTTTCCTCCTCACTTGTTTCCTTCTGTAGAATAAATCCTGATTCAATGGTGTAGTCTAATTAAAAATGCTAGTAAGTTAAAAAGGACCTCCACCAGCAGTAAGGCCACCACACAGAATAATAAAAGGAGTCCAAGACTAAGATCCTGGAGGTGTGGAAAAACCAGGCTTGACAGACTGGTGAAAAGTCCTCAAAGATGCCCACTCCCTGACCAATACTCTATCCTACAGAATATGGAAAAATGAACTTCAACATGGCTCTGGGACTTTTTGAGGATGGAATGCTCATTACTCTACATTTGCAATAAAGAATCAAGGCCAAACACCAACTTCTTTGACACCAGAGATACTAGATATCAAGCTTTAAAAAAGATGAATCAGCAAAAAGATTCCAGAGACAGAGATTAGAGAAAGACTTTTTTCTAAGAAACTCATCTGGTCTCAAATACACATGCTAAAAAGCACAAAGGATGTCACAGATTCACGATGGACTGCACAACTCTGCTGGAATGGCACAGACAGTTAAAAAACCTGGGAACTTCTCTAACTAGTACTTTTGAAATTCCATCCTTTAACAGCTGTCTCTTTTAAAAAATAAATATTCACTTAAGAAGAAAAAGACATCTAATGTTTTCTCTGCTAGAATGAGTTTTTTCCCCTAAACATAGCAAACAAATGAGAATACCTGTCTGGCTTCTACAGAAACTGTATAAATCTCTGGAATTCATCAGACTGACTGCAGAAAAGATGATGACTTTACTCCCTAGCCTGCCTGCCACTGGGTGACAATGGCTATAGTCAACAACTCCCAAGCTCAGTCTTAGCCAGGGTGGGTGGTGCTGCCACATAACGAGCCCAAGCACTGTTCCTAATCTCGAGTATTGGGCTTTTTAGAGGTCACAGGATAACAAGTGCCTGGTGGGAAGCAGCTTGGAACTGAGACAAAACAGCACAGTGCACGTGGCAACTGGGCACAATACCAGCATCTCTAGCCCCAGATTGTGAGAGGGTAAGGAGGCAGAGGCCCAAGCTCAGACTGGTATCCTTACTTGCCGCAGACCAGAGAGATGTGAAAATCTTTAGCTCAATGCAGTGCTAACTTCAGGAAGCTGATATTAGGCACAAAATACAAGATACCCTAGTTCAAACACAGCTATCTCTTAATAAAGTGGTGTCATCTTCCTATTCTCATCTCTTCAGAGATTAGAGACTACAGAGTGTCAGGGAACTGTAGCATAGCCTTTCAAGAACTGAAGGAGCAGGGCATGGTGGTGCACACCTGTAATCCCAGGATTCTGGGAGGCTGAGACAGGAGGATCATGAGTTCAAACTTATCTTGGGCAACTTAGTGAGACCCCCGTCTATGAAATGAAATGGCTGGGGAAGTAGCTCAGTGTGAAGGCCCCACGTTCAACCCCTAGTACTGAAAAAGAGGGGAAAAAGATCTGGAAGAGGTAAGCACTAGGAGGAACGTGGCCAAAAAAAAAAGGAAGCTTGCTGTCTATAGCTGTTGCTCTATTTCCTCCACTGATGCCTGCCTGTATTCTAGAGTGGGGGCAGTGAGATGACAAAACGGAGAGGGTCTACACCAGTCACCTTTCCTCCTTCTTGTACACTGGCTCTGTTTTTCACTACAGATGGAAACAGAAGAATGTGGGGGGGTGTCTGGCTTTAAGGGGAACCTTGCAAGTGAGGGGAGAGTGGAGAGGAGCAGAATTGCCAAGTTCAGGTGGATTAGAAATGACAACCCTGACTGCCATGGATAGTGTCTGAACAAGGGAGAGGGCAACAGAGGCATCATCTGCCCACACCATTGCCACATGAGAAACAACTGGTAATTTATGTACTTAGACCTCCTGAGGCTGAAAAGAAAAAAGAACTCATGTTGGCCCCTTGTAGGGAAGACTGGATGCTGGACCACCCACAGTTGTACAAATGGCCACCATGGGGTTCCAGGTGGGAGTAACCAAAGGCCATAGGTTGGTGAACTCTGACTACATTTGAACATCTAAATCCTTGCTAAGCTCCTTGAACCATGGAGTCAAAGGTAGGAGTGTAATTGTATATGTGAGGCATACGATCTGCCAACAACAGCAAAAAGAGAAAGTCTCTAAGAAGACAAAGCTTTCCCTACAGAAGCAGATCTGTCTTAGGTGCCAAACAGTAACACATGAAAGGCCAAAGAAGGTGAGAGGAAAATCTTGCCTGCTGTCCTATTAGCGCTTTGGGATGAGTCCAGTAAGCAGAAAAACAGATCACCTAGGATGGACCTGCACAGGGATACAGGAAAGAAACCAGATAGAGGATTCTGCTCTTCTGTGTCTTTCTCTTTTAATTCTTGAAAACAAGAAAAACATTTTCTCTTTTTTTTTTTTTTTACCGGGGATTGAACTCGGGTCCTTGCGCTTGCAAGGCAGGCCACTGAACCGCTGAGTTAAATCCCCGGGCAAGAAAAACATTTTCAATCAGCTTAACAGGATCCTAAAAAACATCTTTGCAACCTGCTTACGACATGATTCCCTTTCACATTCCTGTTATGTCAGTCAGAACAAAACTGTTGGTGGGAAAAGCACTAGGCAAGAAGTATTCTGGAGAGATGGCACTGATTATACGGCCTTAGGACCCGTCTCTGGCCCATGATCAGGTCACCATTTGAAGTGTTTGCAATCTCAGAGTGTGGACACCATTACCCAGGAGCCTAGGCTATACCCACTGTCCCCCTCAGCATAACAGAATGAGCAATTAGGGCAAAAAGATCAGAAAGAAAGCAACAGCCTGGAATCTCCCTTAGATTAGAGCTCCCAGGATGCAACAACTAGGGCAGGGCACACCCTTCTTGAAAAGAAGCCTGCTAAGGTGCCCACACCATGGTGGAGGCAGTATAGGATAGACAAAGAGACTCCAGGACAGGTCCCAGGAAGATGGAGAATGGGGCAGTTCCTGATATTGGCCCTTCTCAGAGGTCGTGCTCGTTCATCTCAGTCTCCGCTTGCTGGGATAGGGCTCTGGGACAGATGCTCTTGCATGCTGTTCATCCTGGGGTCCAGAGACTGTCTTCTGAGGATTCTGGGCTTGCCCTCTTCCCCTAAGTTGAAGAGGATTTTATCTGCCAGAAGTGAGGACAGCTAGCACACTAAGCCTTCTCTACAGCCTCAAGGTTACCCTCCCTACAAGGCATGGTCACTGCGAGAGATCCCCAACAGAAGGGCCGCCTCCACCACTATCAAATATAGCCTCTCGGCGACCAGGCTCAGTGATGGACAGCTCTTGAGCCAGGTCATTGAACCGTGATATATAATCGATGCTGTTCTCATTCATCATGCATGCCAGCTGGGAATCCACCACCTGCAGAACAGAGGGAAAAGGGAAGACCAAGTCAGCTAGTGGTTGGTTGGCTTGCCATGTCACTGGACTGGAGATAACTGGCTGCTAAGGTGGGAATATCAGTGGAAGAACCCAGTGCTCAGTGGAAAATTTTGGAATGCCCTCTGTGATCTGAACATGCACTGTTTCTGCAAGTACTCATGGAGTACCCAGTGAGCACTTGACAAGTCTGGTGACTAGGATAAGAGTGTTGGTAGCCTCCCACCTGAGACTTTGGGTTGGGAGTCAACAGTCTATACACAAGTAAATATTATACCACAAAAGTCAAAGCTCAAAAAAGAGCCTGAAGGGCTGGGATTTAGCTCAGTGGTTCTGCCTCCTATCTCGAAAGCTCAAGGACCCAAGTTCTATTCTCAGTACCAAAAAACAAACAAACAAACAAACAACAAACAAACAAACAAACAAACAAAAAAAACCCCAAAAAGCCTGAAGGAAACATAAGCAGCTTGCTAAGGAATAGGGTTCAGAAGGCTCTCCTGGACCCAGAATCTGACAGGTCAGGAACTAAATCACATGAATGTATAAGGAAAGAATATTCCTATCCCCCGCTCCAAAAAAAACAAGTACAAGGGCAACAGGTAGGCACAGGTGGCAGCTGTTCCAGAAATACAACAGTGGCCACGAGACCGTGAACAAGGGAAGGCTAGGAAGAAGACAGGGCTCTGATAGAGCCTCAGGGACTAGGACTTTATCCTAAGAGCAAAAACATGGAATTACTGGTCCTCATTGTTCCTGAGGCAGCCTCACACAAAGACAGGGCCTCTGTTTTGTTCAATGACTATATCAGCACCTACCACAAATGAATAAACATGTTAATAAATGATATGTCATAGTGAATGAGTAAAAAGCCTTTGAAAAATTCTGAGTAGAGGTATGGCATGAACTGAATTTGAAACTCTTTATTATAGGAAATTTCAACAAATTGAAATTTGTTTTCTGAAGTAGAGCAAATACTGACATTCCTCCTTCCGTATATTTGTCAGCAGGTTCTATCCTTATCAACCTGTGCCCAATCTAGCTCCACCTCTCCCCACCAGGTCCTCACCCATCACTTTTATTCAAGTTCCATCATCAGACCATTTCACCCAATGTGTTTCAGACCATTCTTGTAGATAAGGAGGAGTCTTCCAAACACTCTTAAAAATGCTTTCAATGGTGTTTTTAAGCATAGAGTTTTCAGGAAGACCTTTTACTAAATATGTTTTTACGTTACTTGCTATGGACAGTGTTCCATGCAGCTCATTGTCGCATGCATCATGTCAACTAGGAAGCTTGTTGACAATCCAAACTCTGACTCGGGGGGCCTGGAATGGGCCTGAAATTCTGTATTCCTAACTGCAAGGTGTTTCTGCCGGGCTCATCTCCAGGGAAGCTGGAATATCCATACTAATATGAAAACGGAAAGGGACTGGTTTCTTGTGGAATATCTGTGTGATAAGTGTTTCGTGAATAAAGATCCTGTGGCTAAATGGATCTGAGGAATGCACCACGTGGGGGAAAGTCATTATGTTATGGTGTCTACATTTACACTGGCTGAAATTTTCAATCAGATAATGACTTGCTCAGAACTCTCCAAAACTATCTCTAAGTTTACCATTTTCAGATACACAATAAGAGGAAGGAGCTGTTTTGAAGGTTTCCATTCAAGTGCCTGACTACACACAGAACCTTGCAGAATACCTGCCAAGGCCTTGAAACCCTGGGGACCAGTTTGGAAAATGTTGCTCCAGTAATCTGACAACAGGCCTAAGCCCATCCAAGGAGCACTACAGATTTAGGGTCCCCTCCCTCCCCCATACCCAGGTTCATGCTTTGCTCAAGTCTCTCTAGGGAAACTAAAGCTCTGTTCCTTAAAGCATAGTTAACTGCATCTGACTTGACTTTGTCCACCAGCAGAGCCCCTGCAGGGCAGACTGCACAAAGGTACACACAAACAATATGAGGACATTTAAGTGACTGCAAGAGCAGCCAACCTAACTAAGGACAAGAGGAACAAAGCTCTAGCCCCAAAAAGTCTTTCCTTTACCAGCCTGGGCTACAAAGTGAGACCCTGTCTACAAGGTGGGGGGGCTTGCCTTTATAACAAGCACCTGCCACATGTGACTCCTACCATCACTGCCTGAATGTGGGAGAGGTGCCAGGAAACTGGATAGGGCCCTTCTGCAGAATTTGTCTTAAGTTCCACTGGGCCGTGACTGTAAAACAGTACCATGAAAATTTGACTTGAAGGTCTCTTGTTGCCAGGATGGGACAGTGATGACAAAAATTATAATTTTTTATAATTATCCCTTCATCTTCCACAATGGCACCGCACCTCACACATCAGCAAACTAAGGCAGCCTGAGGTCACAGAGCTGCAGAATGACAGGATGCAAACCAATTCAGCTCCACTTATCTTCAGAGACCCCACTTTCCACTCTGACTCTAAGGCTTCCTAGAATCTGATGCCTTCAGGGCCAGCTGTTACCTAAGGTCTGCTATTGACTTAGATCTTTTTTTGGGGGGGTACTGGGGATCAAACTTAGGACCATGCACTTGTGAGGCAGGCAGTGGCACCACTGAGCTAAATCCCCAGGCCTGCTGACTTAGATCTTAAATTGGCATATCTTAAGAGGTCAGAGACCCAGATTTGTATGTGCTGTCTCCTGATGTCACCTCCTAGCAAACAGTTCTTAAAACCCACAGAGTTCAGAAAGGACCAGGAACTCTGGGAAAGGGTGGACATTTAAGTTCAGGGGCACAGTAGTGCACTTACCTCTGCAACATCAGCCAATGACCTGGACACAAAAGAGTCTCGCGAGTTTCCATCCAACAAGCTGGGGCCAAGCAAGGAAGTGCCGCTGTTGGATCCAATAGGAGTTGGGAGCATCTTTCGGCTCTTCTCTGGGGAGATGAAGCTGGCTGCACAGAGAATGCCAAAAACAACACCCTGAGCCAAATGAACATCCTGAGGGCTGGAGGCAGCCAGGAACCCTGCAGGCCTTCACCCTCATGCTTGCCTGAAAGACTTAGATGACACCATCATATTGTGACTGACTTCTTATATAATGACCTATCTGTCATCTCACAGGAACTCCAAAGTTTTGCATTATCTGGTTGCTTCCCCTGCCACACACAAAAATTTAATTCTCTGTGACCACTCTCTCACTGACACTAAGGCTGTTTACAAGTGTTATATGTGACTGCAGAAACCATCTATTGAGGGCTGGTTCCTTTTTATACCCAGACTCAGAACCCCCTGGTCCTCCTGGGTCACCAGATACAAGCCCCATAGTTGTGGTTGACCAAGTTCACCATGTATACAGCATGCCCTTCTCTCGGGCCATCTGTCAATTAACCATCTCTAATGAGTCACCATCCTATAAAACTTCATATATGTAAACAGGAGTGCTTCCTATGCAAGTAATAGTAGCTGTGTGTGACTTTTTTGACATGCCCCTTCCCTCATACTAACACCTGGTGCCCAGGGAGCAAACATATGGGGGAGGGCGGGCACATCATCCTATGTGTCTCCCGTTTATGGCTGAGAATGTGGCACATGGTGACTGCAATATCCACTTCAGAATACCTTAGTGACTGCAGAAAAAGAGAAGGTGAACATTCAAGACAGCCAATTTCTTCTTTTTTACTCAGGGGAACAGGTAGGTAGGCAGAGGCTAGACTAGGCTAGCTGGACAGACTGGAGAGGGCAAGAAAAGCCACAAGGATGACAGGAATGTTCTGTCTCCTTTGGGAAATATGCACTAAAAATCTGTGCATTCTGTACAAGTTTTACCTAAAAAAAACTAACTCAGAATAAAATAACCATTTGTGGAACAAATACTCAACAGTCCTAGAACAGGTTTGGCCCCAAAGCCCTGAGGATGCTGTCTCCTGGACTCCATTCTCTGCTGGTCTGGGAAAGGAGACCCTCTCCAGATACTCACCAAACAAGCTGCTAAGTGAGGAGTCAGTGGAGTCACTAGGGTACCACTGGGGGTCGTGGGTGGGAGAGGCAATCCAGTTGGGCTGTGGGCTGCTAGATGGGGAAGGAAGGCTCTTGGAACTGTCACTGCCATTCAGCTTTGCTGGTGAAAGAGGGACTCCTTCACCTGCCAACCAAAACCCTGAGTCAGAGACACTTTCTTCAAGAAGCAGTGGTGGGGGTACTGTGTACTGCTAACCACGCTCAATCAGTCTCGACTTCATCCTAATGTGGTCTACAGACAAGGACAGCAGAGCTTGGAGCATGGCTTTGTACTATAGGAAGGACATGATGCAGAATACAGCAAAAACAGCATGCTCCATGGATGGGGCCAGGCCTTGTGCCCAGACCTCCATGCTGAGCATCTCCATAGTGTCTGCCATAACACTGTGATGTACACACTGTTCCCAATCTGCTGCCTAGAAACTTAACCTCAAATGCAGTGGTGGCCTGACCAAGGCCATGTGCTAATCATTTGGCTAAACCAATGGCATGACTCACACTAGTGAGCAAAAGCCATACTATGCTGCAGGAACCACAGAGAATGAGTGGGTCCAAGACCTTGACAGCTACAAGCTGGGCTTGCTGAGCTCTGCAAAACCCACAGGTTGTCTGCCATACTTAACAGTCAACCAGGAAGGCATCCCTGCTGATCCCTGAACTATAGAGGGCCTCATGGGCCAGCTTACTCTTGTCTCAAAGTTAAGAGCAATCCTACCAGACCATCAATAGCCTCAAATGCTACATGCTTGTCAGTGGCAGGTATTCAGTGCTCAAAAACAAGAGCTGAACTAGAACATTCCCAGTACATTTAGCAAGGACCCCACAAGGCAGGTCTAATTGCCATGTCCTGGGGGGAACCAGGTGCCGGAAAGGGTATGCAGGACTACCTGATCTTACCAAATTGGCCTGAGCTAATCGCAATCTCAATGATAGAGTCGCTGATCTGTGTTGCAGGTTCTCCCTGTGAGAGCACATCTTCAGGTGGGCCAGGCAGAGAGATGTCCAGCAGTGCAGAAACATTAGGCGGTGAGAGCCGGGTGCTGGAGCCCTCTGATGAGGTCAAAGGTGTGCAGAGACCATTCTGGAGAGGAGTTTTGGGCAGCTCAGACAAGGAGAGAACAGACGAACCCTGCTAGAAGACAGGTGATGTTTAGATACAAGTGGCCACTCAGAACCCTAAATAGCCTCCCACAGCCTCAGCTTCAGAGCTTAGCCTCAGAACGTGGTGTCTGCAATGGGTATAGGGTTCTTCTCATCTTTTCAAGTGAGGAACACAATCAGGGAATCTACTCCTCCCAAAACTACTTTCAACAGCAGTCAGAAGGCCAGGCCAAGGTGCACTAGGTCTGCTTCCACTGCCACTAGTGGTTCAACTGGAGAAATAAAGACAGATAGCAAGTACTGGAGAGCCACCAGCTGATGGCCTCTTCCCTGGCCCAGAACCAATCCAGAGTCTGAATGAATGAAATGAGATCTAGAAGACAGGTGAATTCATTTACTCACCAGAAGTATACAAAGGTTGGTAGAAAGAACTCAACTAATGAGCAACAATGTCTGTCTGAAACCAGGGAGAATAGGGACTCAGCACTGGAGAGGATCCCAAGGTAGCTATTTTGCTCTACAGCCCCAAAGCACACCCTACCTGGAAACTGTCCACCACTGGCTCCTGCTCCGGCCCTGGGGGGACGCCGATGAATGGATTGCTCGTGCCCTACGAGATCACCAGAACACCAGTGAGCAGCCCATACGTGATGTGCCAGAACTGCACCCAAGTGCTCACCTAAATGAGCTCCAGAGAAAGGGCTGTTCAGTCACCCAGCTTCCCACCAGCCAGAGGTAAAGGCAACAGATCATGCTCTCAGCTGAAAAAGCTGTGCAATAACTTTTACTTAAAATTTTTGGTTGTTTCAAAGAGATAACTCAATTCCCATTAAGAAATCAGTGTCGTAATTTCAGACAGACAAGGCTCCCTGGTACTCAATGGGGCCAACTCATCCACCAGCCCCAGGTAGTTTTCAAACAGGCTAAAAACCTGAACATTTGGGGAATCATGAAGGAGGGATGGTTCGGGCCATGAGCACATTGTTCACCCAGATACATAAAGTGCTCAGTGACCTCTGAACGGGAAGCCATGGACTGAGGGCCAACTTGGTTGTGGATCAAGCAATATTGTCATATATGTCTTAGCTCTGGATTCTCCATCACACAGCAAGCCTGTCTTTTCATCTCACTTGTTTTGTACTCCACAGCACTCATTTGCACCTTGGCCTCCCTGGCTCAGTGGCTCCTCTAACCCCTCAGGTCTAACCCCTCCATAAGCAGAGCTGGATCCAGTGTGACACCATCTCCTTGGCCTGGCTCCCACTTGAGAAGTTAGTGGTACACCAAACAGCCCTTTTCAACATACTTACCCCCACAGTGGGGACAGGGTCTCCATTCTGGTGGGGTCCGGTGCAGTCCTGCCCTGAGATGGTACCTGTCACCTCATCTGAGGACAGTGGAGAGATGCCAGATAACCCCTCGGTCTCTAAGACTGGTAAGGGGCTTCCAGGAATGATGCCAGCACTCTGAGCTGCTAGGTCAATCGCACCTGGCAACAGAAGCAACATTTCAAATCTCTGCTCCATGATACCTCAAGATGTGTGTGTAGAAAGCTCAGGACGGCTTCCCCTTCATGTCAATGCAAGAGCCAATAGTTTTGATATTCTCTTTCAAAATTAATGAGACACTGCAGTTTTGAAAAGAAAATACTACACAGTAGCTTTCGCCATGAAGGCTATGAACTCACTGGCCAGGTGACTTGTGGCCTGGGATGGAAGGACCTTGGGCACAATTGGCCGAGACAGTGCTGCTTTGGTCAGAGAAGACTGGATGGGCCGAAACGAGCCTCTCCCTGTAAGAAAACAGACACATCAACCTGCAGCCTATGTCTTTCTAGCACACAATGGAGATGCAGAAGATTTCCTTCATAGATGCAGCTAGGATCAGAGAAACCACACAACTTTCCAAATATTTACTAACTTGGGAGGTCAGAGGTCACTCAGTGCCCAATAGGGAGGACAGGTCAGGGACCTGCCCTGGTAGCATGACTGTGCCTCTCAGGAGCTCCTAAAAGTCTATAGTCATCACTGTCATCTCCTGGGAATAGCCCTTTGTGATAAGACCATACAGTGTACTGCAGGCTTGTTAGAGGAGATCAGTGCATCCAACCTTGGACTAAGACTCCGCCACTGCAAATTTGGTTTTACCCTCTGTATTCTACAGTTGAAAAGTAAGCATAAGAGCTGGGCATGGTGGCACACACTTGTAATCCCCACACTCAGAAGGCTGAGGAAGGAGGATTTCCCCAAGTTTGAGGCCAGCCTAGGCTACATAGTGAGTTCAAGGCCAGTCTGAACTGCATAGCAACCTTGTCTCAAAAAAAAGCATGAGAGAAAGCAATCAAAAGCAGATTAAAATCAAGACGACAGGTAAAAAGACAAATCACATAGCACATGTCCTATTTACACTCTCACTGTATAAGATGCACTTCAAAGTAAAAGGGAAGAACAAAAACAGCAAGTGCAGGGGCCATGAATAATCTCCAGACTTACGAAAAGAGTGATCTATATACCCCCAGGACATATTTACTCATAAAGTGTTTGATACAGCTCTGCACACAGAAAACGGACAGCAGATCCTCTGCTGAGCTGGACTGAACAATATGGCCAATTGGGCCTGCTGAGACTTTGGAAAAAAGACTTTGGCACTTTTGGAAAAGTGCCCTGCGACTCACCTTTCAGAGTCCTCTACCCAGCTCAGTTGCAAGCAGCCAAAGCAAGAGGCACACATGGTATTTGCTGGTAGATTGCAACCAGGAGTGCAAAGAGCAATCCTCAGGAAGCCAGTACCCACTGCCCTAAGGTAAGGGCCTGGTCAGGTAAGGAGAGGGGAGAGAGCTAGCCCAGAGAAGTGCAGGCCCTTACCAGCTATAGGAGAGTTAGACAGGATGGAGAAGGAGCACACATTGTGGGATTGGTTTTCAGATGGTCTAGGGAGCAGTGTTCTCTGTAAAGAAAAAATGCAAATAATCAAGGTGATAAGAAGACTTTAATGCCAAAAAAAAAAATCTTTCAAGAAATTGGTTTAAAAGAAATATATATATATATTTTTTTGGTACCAGGGATCGAACTCAGGACCTAGCACTTATGAGGCAGGCATGGTGCCATTGAGCTAAATCCTGGCAATTTAGCTCAGTGGTGCGCTGCCTGCCTCGCAACCCAAATTCGATCCTTGGTAGGCAGGCATGGCCATTGAGCTAAAAACCCGCAATTTAGCTCAGTGGTGCGCTGCCTGCCTCGCAACCCAAATTCGATCCTTGGTACCAATCAATCAATCAATCAATAAATGGGAACCAAGTATAAGTTGATAAGGAGCTTATTTTAGATTTGAAGACATAAGGATGCCTAGGGTGGGTGGAGGCTGTTATATTTTGTGGGCCCTAAACCCCAGAATATTGGATCCTCTGAAACCCAGAGAATTAGACCTTTCCCAGGAAAACCAGAGGAATGTCAGTGATCCCCTTGAATTTAGAATGTCCTTCTGGATTTGGCTGGAGCAAAACTAGGTATACACATCTGTTTACAGACATGGAATGGGCTGAGAGAGTCCTGTCCTGGGTTTCATTATTGGGGAGTGAAGAAAAGAAGGTGACAAGACGTGCCAAGTGGCAAGAGATGCTCTTTCACAAAGCTCCCACATATCAACAATGAGGTTCCAAGGTACTCTGCATGCCTTTTGAATGATCACTACTAGGTGAGAAAAAATTATATCAACCACCAAAACTCATTGTGGTCACAATAAAACATTCACACAAAAAAACCCCACTGATCAATATGTATAACAGATATTGTGAAATAGAAAATGTTCTCTGGGCGTGGTGCACACCTGTAATCCCAGAACTCTGGGAGGCTGAGGCAGGAGGATCCTTGCAAGTTAGAGACCAGCCTATGCTACATAGTGAGTTCCAGGTCTCTCTCAACTACATAGTGAGACCATTGTCTCAAAAACACCAAAAAAACAAAAAAACAAAAAACAAAAGTATAAAAGAAGAAAATGTTCAAATGAATAGAGGAACTAGAGGAACTAGGGAAGATGGTGGTGGGAAAGGCAGGAAGAGAAAAGAAAATAAGAAAAGAAGGAAAAGTGGAAACAAAGCTTTTGTAAATAAGGAGGGGAAGAGAGGTCAAAGGGAGGTTAAGGGAATGGGTTTTAAAAAAGATATATCATGTTTTAAAAAAGAATCAAGGGCCAGGATTTAGCTCAGTGGTTCTGGTGCCTGCCTCACAAGCACAAAGACCCAAGTTCAATTCTGGTACCAATAAATAAATAAATAAATAAATAATCAATCAATCAAGATATATCATGTTTAAAAAAAAGAATCAAGATATATCATGTACAGGTACAGATTCTCTACAACAAATGTAATCAGTATTATATCCAAAATGACCGATTTTTTAAAAAAAGCCTGCTGGGGCTGGGGATTTAGCTCAGTGGTTCTGCCGTCTGCCTCATAAGTGCAAGGTTCCAAGTTCAACCCCTGGTACCAAAAAAAAAAGTAAAACAAAACAAAACAAAAAAAACTCTGCTAATCCAGTAACGTCATGAGGCACTTCAGTCTGGTGTACAGGTGTTCGTGTATGAAGGATTCAGAGTGCATTCATACCCGAGAACATCCTTACAGCACTGATGTTGGCACAGATCACAGGGCAGATGCTATTGGATATGCCAATGGGGAGGATCCATTAATAGCTCTGTATGCTCTTTCCCTGCCTTGCTTCAAAGTCTAAGGCATGGATCAGTAAACTTTTTCTATAAAGGCCCAGGAAGGAAGTTGTAGACTTTGGGGCCATGGACATTACAGAAAGTTGTTATTTATAAAAATATTAAAAGGCAAAGACCACATATTGCATGATCCCATGTTTGTTAGGAAATACTCAGAATGGGCAAATCTATAGAGATAGAAAATGGGCTGGGTGTGTTGGTGCATATAACATACACCTGTAATCCCAGTACTTGGGAGGCTGAGGCAAAAGGATTACTGTGAGTTCAAGGCCAGCTTGGGCTACACAGTGAGGTCAAGTTCAACTTGGACTGCATAGTGAGACCCTGTCTCAAAAGAAACAAAATAAAACAAAACAAAAAAAAAAACCCTGAAAATAAGGGATGGTAGTGAAACTCCACAGATACATGGTTTATTGTGGGTAATCATGATGTTCTGAGACTAGTGACAGTTGTATCTCCTCATAAATATGCTATGAGCCATCCAGTTGCACACTTCAAATGGATACGCCTTTTGGTATGACAACTATGTATTTCCCCACACCCAAAATTTTTTTTTGTACCAGGAATCAAACTGAGGACCTTGTACTTGCAAAGCAGGCAGTGGCACCACTGTGCTAAATCCCTGGCCCTACCACAAAACTGTTTTAAAATACAACAAAAAAGAAAAACAGGCTGGATTTAGCCCATGGGAAATAATTTAGGACCTTTGACTCCAGAGTTACATATATCACATCTAGCCAACAATGGTTTTCCCATTTTCAAGGCAAAGAATTAAATATACTAATGTTAAATGTAGTACTATGCCTGAGTAAAAATTATCTGGATTTGAAATACATCTTTCTTCCTTAGACCTTTCATTGAACTCTTATTTTTACTCCTTTCTTTTGAGACAGGGTCTCACTATGTAGTCGAGACTGACCTGGAACTCACTATGTAGCCCAGGCTGGTCTCTAACTCACAGCAATCCTCCTGCCTCAGCATCCTGAGTGCTGGGATTACAGGTGTATGCCACCACAACCAGCTCAACTCTTTTTTTTTGGGGGGGGGGTACCAGGGATTGAACTCTGGCCCTTGTGCTTCCAACTCTGGCAGTGGAACCACTGAGCTAAATCCCCAGCCCTTCGACTCTTATTTTTAAATAAACTAATCTCAAAAGGGAAAAACAATTCTAAGAGTTGAATAAAAGGAAACCTGTCATTAATACTCCCTGAATATATACATTCATAAATTTATCTTTTTTTTCTTCCGTACTGTAGAATAAACCCAGGGCCTCATATGCATACTAGGCAAGCGTTCTACCACTGAGCTACATCTCTAGTCCACATGCATACATTTCTAAGGTTGTAATTATTTTAGATTTGCATTCTCATTTCCTTTCTTTCTCCCTTGAAATGACGCTGCTCTCCCTCTCAGGTTCTCAGTTGCCCTGCCTTTCCTGTGGCACACAGGATCCGCGGGCCCCACCCTTCCACAATACTCACTGCACAGAGTCCGGCCTTCACAGACCCAAACTGGCCAACTTCTTCCAATGACTAAACTGTGCATCTATACGTTTTTCCTTTTTCTTTTTCTGAGACAGGGTCTTATTATATAGTTCAGGCTGGCTTCAATATCACTGTGTAACTTGGGTTGGCTTCAAACTCACTGCAATCATTGTGCCATAGTCTCCCAAGTGCTAGGATCACAGGAATGTGTCACCAGGCCTGGTCCCTTAGCACATTTTCTGACTATCCTCCAAGAGACCCCAGGCTGGACTTGGATGGTCAAAACTTTGTCTTTTCTGAAAGCAAATTTCAATGCTGTTCAAAGACTATCTTTACCTATAGGTACCATTAAGTTCACTGCTGTTACTTTTATTTTTAATAAAAAGGAAGGGCCAGGAATATCCCCATTTTATGCTCTAAAAACCCAAGACACAGAAGACAAATGTGCCATGGCCAGATTGACTAGTGAGAGAGCCAGGGAACACATGGAACTTGAGTGAGGCTCCCTCACCTGGACCACCAATGGCTTCCGAAGATGCCGGTTCCGCAGTTTCCTGGGCTTTGGCAAGAAGAAGTCTGACTGCATCTGGAAGGGGAAAAGCACATGAACCCTAAGGGCTCATCCTACAAGGCCTGGCAGCCTGGTCTGGCATACAAATGTGGCTTGGCACTCACACTAATTGAGTTCAGGTGCTGCCGGAAAGTCAGCTCAGCTTCTTTACTGGGTGAGAAGAGCTTCCCATGTCTGCTATTTGGTGGCAAAGTTGTAGGGACAGCAAACAGGCCACCATCTGAGTCACTGCTTCCTGTGCTGGAGGGACCAGCCACCAAGAGGGGTCTTGGGGGGTTTCTCAAACCTGAAAAAACAGAAAGGAGTCACACAGTAACACTTGTCCACAACATGTCCAGGGTGAAGGGAATTTACCTGAGAAAAAAATCAAGAAGGAATCCTCTGGACAGTTCTCTAGCTACATGTATCTAAACCCTCTAAAACACTGCCCTTTTTCCTTGCTCACTGGAATTCCTGTCCTCATTGAGAAAACTGCCAGCTTATTGGAGAGGACAATTGCACTGTTCCATGCTCAGTGCCCATCACCAAACTTTCCAGAGCTAGCAGAGCCTGGAAATCTTAAACAGAACTGAAGCCACCAGACCTCTGCAAAGGGTCAGAGAGCAGTATTGGCTATGCAGCAGAACACAGCCACTCACCACACATTCATACGTGAGTGCAGTCATGTGCCAACATGGCTCTACATCCGAGGTAAGCAGTGGGCCAGACTTGGGCCACATCCTGCCACTTGCTAATCCTATCTAAATCTCTAATTTTATGGAACATAAACCCAGATGTACAAAGACAAAAGCATTTCAGAACTACTTTTTTGGGTAGGTGCTGTGACAAAGTACCCTCAGAATTCACAGCTGAGTGGAGTGCTCTGAAATGACATGCAAAGTTTTTAGGTCAGGTATTCTAAGTATCAGTACAGATTACTAGAACTACAGGCCCAGCAGGAGGCAGGAGAGGCCTGGGAAGCCACTGGCTGGATCTCATCAATGAATACAGCTTTGTCTGCAAGGACCAGTGTCTCAGGTTTGCTACTGCCTTCTGCAGCAACTCCAGGAAGAAAACAGGAGGAAGGGGAAGGGGAAGGGGAAATAGAAAACAAGCAACCACAGGAAGATGTGGCCCTAACTCAGCAGCAGTCTATACTTCCTCTAAGGCTACCAGGAAGGACACTCAAGGAAACAAGAGTCCTTAATAGGCAGGTCATTTGCAACACAGTAAGACAGAGATAATAAGGCCTGACATTCTCTGAATGGAAAACTATGTTGGAGCACTGGTAACAATTAGGACCATCCAGACATATGGTTAAAAAGTTACTATTTTTTTCTTACCTGTCTACACTTGAGATTTGCCTACCCTAAGTTGTGAACTCCCGGAGAATGAGGTGGGGCTGTCTCCTAAGGATACACAGGGCTGGGCAGGGTTGCTCCCATAGCACTGGGACAGCAACCTTCATAGGAAAGCGTGAGGCCTTAGGAGCACAGGATGAGTGTTCTGGATCTTATTTTTGAGCTGCTCCTACCTCCCAGGCCACCCCTATCCCACTGAATCAGTCTAAGGAAGAGCTGCATGACATCTCCTAGGCCACAAGAGCAAGACAACGGCCCACACTTATCCACTTAGTCACTCAGCTAGTTCAGTGCAGGATAGGGTACAAATGCCTGGGATACAAGGGCATGTAGAATCACTACTCTACCATAATAATCTCTTTCATTATACAAATACCAAATGCTTAAATAAAGTAAAACTGATGCTCAAGAAAAAGAGCAGGCTTATCTTGGGATTTCATATCCCCAGTGACAAAACTGATGAACTGTGAATTTAAACTATTTCCTAGGCCGGGCGTGGTGGTGCACGCCTGTAATCCCAGC